TTAGGGGTATAGAAATATGGCGCTCTATGAAAGGACAAGGGGCAGTGACATAACAGCATTTCCCCTCATCCAATCAGAGAGTGCCTAGTATTAAAAATCAGAAAAATACTAGGCGTCCTTTGAATGGCCGCTGTGCTAAGAGAGCAACCTGCTGCGTTTTAATAGCACAGGAGATGCTTCTCAGCACAAGGGGACGCTGCTCCTATACCCAAGTGTTGCTGTAGTCTCCGTGGCTACAATAGTGCATTACCACAATCCCCATGGCCCTGCCAAGGATAATTTATATACGCTTGTGTTGTGCCAAGCTGAACCAGGAATGCACCTCCAACCAGATAACTGGACAGTGAAGAAGCAGCATGCTGACAAGGGCATAATGCTGCCTCATCTAACTCTCTAGAAGGGGAGAAACACGGTTGCCAACACTGCTTGGTCCCTAAGGAAGGGGCTAAGTTTTGGATGCCCAAAACGCATCAGTTACTCTACTTGAATGTCCCCCTGACCCTAATGAAATAAAGTTGCATCTGGACTATTTTAACTGGTGTGGTGCTTCAATTGCTACATCTACTGTGAACACTGCATGGGAGATCAGTGCATCAGAATTGTCACCTCGCACAGGAAGTTTGGAGCTCATTGGATTTCTGGCAGATCAAGAAGTATTTTTCTGTATTTGCAGCATTTTTATAAAACAAAACATGGGGGTGACTATTAAAATTCTACGATCTGCAATGCCAGACGTACCCTGGTCGATAAATCAGGGAATGTAAAAGGATACTTGGACAAGCGGTGACATTTGTATACTCTGCATCTGTTAATGTGTTACAGCAAACGATTCGACCTGTGCCATTCATTTCCCAGAACAAAGCACAATGTGACGCGTGTCCTATACGCTGCGGTTGGAGAATAGCGGTTGCCAGGCAGTAGATATACACCAAGCACACTCAGGTACTACAGAGACGAGCAGTCTGTTGCAGAGCAAACATCTAAGGCATTTAATTGGCCAAGTAAATAATTAGCCAACAAAGCAATGCTGAAACTTGTAACAGGAGAGCATCAAACCAGCGCTGGCAGGATACTGCATAGGGAAGCCAAATAATTACACAGAACACCTCCAAACAACAAGAGACATACAAACATGCACCTGTTTTTTTTTCTTTTTTATGCACGGTCATTTTGGCGACTCAAACTCAAAGAAGTGTAATTAAAAATATGCTTAAAAGGAGAACTATGAGGTGAGTGCTTTTCACTCACCTCATAGTTCTAGCCGACGTGTTGTGACTGTCACAGGTCGGCTCAGTAGATCGGGAGGTGAGCGAACACATACCGGCGTTCGCTCACTTCTCGATCCTGTCACAGCTCTCTGCGGTGACAGGAGAGTGGCTGGATTTCCCACCTCCCCGCTCCGATCCTCCAGCGCTGACTAGCGGAACGGACGGGTGAGGGGGCGAGTACAGCTGGCCTCTAGATAGGCAGAGCCAGCTGTCACTCACGCAGCTGGGCGGATCCAGACATAATTGTCGGGATCCGCTTCAGTGCCTCAGTATACCGAGAGCTGTATACTGAGCGAGCTGCCTCTAGATAGGCAGAGCCAGCTGTCACTCATGCAGCTGGGTGGATCCAGACAATTGTCGGGATCCGCTTCAGCTGTGGCGTCTCAGTATACCGCGAGCTGTAGCTCGCGGTATACTGAGCTTAGGGTGATGGGAGGACGATAGTTTGTGTCCTCCCGTTACCCTGAGAACTATGGGGAAAAGCCCTGACCCCATAGTTCTCCTTTAAAAGGACAAATGAAATGGGATGTTAAAGAGGAACTAAAGAACTGTAAAAAAAAAGTACAAACACTGTAAAGCAGGTTGCTCTTTATTGCAGAAGAGACATTCTATGCCTTCAGTGCACTAAAAAAAGACTTGCCTGCCTGTTCACAATTCTTCTTCAGAATGTACACTTAGTTACATACACCTAGCCCAGCCCAGTGTATATTCTAGGCATGCATGTGTGGGGGGTTACATCATCCAGCGCCAGTCAATCAAGCTAGCTGAAGACCTCGCACGTGAAGATGTCAGCGATGGAGGTTGCTGACGTCACATCGCTGGAGCAGAGGTGGGTATTTGTACACTTCTCTAGGTTAACTTCCAGAGATAACAAGAAGGCTACAGGAAAACGTATATTTTTACATGTCTTACTGTTTGTTAAAGGCCAATTAAACTTACAGTTGAAAATCAGCTACATACACTATATTGCCAAAAGTATTGTGACGCCTGCCTTTATATGTACATGAACTTTAATGGCATCCCAGTCTTAGTCCGTAGGGTTCAATATGGAGTTGGCCAACCCTTTGCAGCTATACCAGCTTCAACTCTTCTGGGAAGGCGTCCACAAGGTTTAGAAGTGTGTCTATGGGTATGTCTGACCATTCTTCTAGAAGCGCATTTGTGAGGTCACTGGAACTGAGGGGAACATTTGGCACAATGCAGTCAGGCAAGTAACGTTCTCCTGGCAAACACCAAATCCAGACACGTCCATCAGATTGCCAGACAGAGAAGCGTGATTCGTCACTCCAGAGAACACGTCTCCACATCTCTAGAGTCCAGTGGCGGCGTGCTTTACACCATGGCATCCGACGCTTTAAATGCCTTAGATGTTGGTGATGTAAGGCTTGGATGCAGCTGCTCGGCCATGGAAACCCATTCCATGGAGCTCTCTACGCACTGTTGTTGTGCCAATCTGAAGGCCACACGAAGTTTGAAGGTCTGTAACTATTGACCCTGCAGACAGTTGGCGACTTCTGCGTACTGTGCGCTTCAGCATGCGAGTAATAAGACTTTGCAAACCTTTTGTTTTAATGAACCTGGAAGATATTTAGCGGATATATACTGAAAGTTAAGTTGGGCTTTAACATTTTACCTCCAGCTGCAGCTATATGTGTGTGAGCAGCAGTCTGACAGTCCTGGTTGCGGTAGAGTTCCCCATTTAGCAGGAAGCATGCACTTTACCAGTTACTAGCAGTTACATTGTCTTTATTGAATAAGGCCAGTTCTGGTTCTCACTCACAAGATGCATTGATACATTCTGATAAAAATTAATAAATTAAAAGGCATACAGGTTACCTGGTTCTGGGCAGTTCTCTTTATTGGATAGTGTGCTGGAAAGGACATCTATAAGAGCTTCTTTAAACTGGTCAAAATGAACCTGTGGAGAAAACATAGAAATTATGCCTTGGGCTACAAAAATTTAAATTTCTTATTATTTGTGATCACACACGGGGTGCGGTTGGGTCCACTACTAATTAAAATATTCAGCTGCAACTATGTAATCCTTTAAGATGACATCACCCGGGCATAGGGAATTGATTCGGCACAGTGCTGATAGCAACAATGAAGAAATTGCAGCATATGCACAATAAGTGGCAATTATAAGCACTTGACGCAATGTTGAGCTGCTTTCATGGCCAAACAAATGCTAAACCTGTAAGTAGTTGCATCATTTTTCTTAGTTCTGAATAGAGTGATAAGGGAGGATAAGTCCAGTCTTCTAGCAAGCACTAACAATGTGGTCACTTCACAAAGTCTAATCAACCAATATATTGGACCTTGCGGGATCTATACAAAAACTATGCTTTGTTACAAGTATCATCATCTTCTGTTACTTGTTGTTTACATAAACCAAGCAACCCTGATGAAGGGAGCAGAGATACCCAAAACACAATCGAGTTTTCACTAGATCAGGGGTATCCAAACTTTAGCCCTACAGCTGTTGTCGTAAGGCATTGCAAGACTGACCGCCACAGGCATGACTGCCAGAGGCAGATGCATGATGGGATTTCAAGCTTCACAACAGCTGGAGAGCCAAAAATTGACTATCCCTGTGTTAGAGCTTCAATAACAGCCAACATGAAGAAACTAGTGCTTCCTCTAATCGCTTCATCCGCTTTCGCTATGGGCATTGTCGCTTTAGAGTAAAGTGCTCAGGATTCTGTACTCCAAAATCAACACGAGAGGTCTCTAAACTTCAACATGGTCTGCTGAGCAGTCCACCAAATGGACCCTTCAACAATGTGGCCTGCTTCTCCAAATATTTGTTCTCTGGTGTTATTTCTTCCTATATCTCTGCTGGAGAGATGCATGCTCTCCATTTGTCCTGATGACCATCCTCACCAGGACTAAAACAGAGAAGCAAAATCTGAAATAATGAGTGGTCACCACAACAGGAAATCAGAGGAAATCTCTTGGAAAGATTGGCCCCCACATTATATTGGGGGGAATTTATCAAAACTGGAGCATGCCAAATTTGGAGCAGTTACTCATGGCAACCAATCAGCTTCTCTCTTCAGTTTAGATTAGAAAATGAAAGAGAAGCGGATTGTTTGCCATGCACAGCTACTCCAGATTTTGCATGCTCCAGTTTTGATAAATTGCCCTTTTTGTGTCTACAGGACAGGTAATGAAGGAATTGCAAATATAAAACTCAAAAAAACAGTTGCCTATAGTAATCAGTAGGGATGCACTGATACCAGTTTTTCGGTATCGAGCGGCGTAATTTTATTTTCCCCGGTACTCGCCAATACCGATACCGGAAGTGCCATTGGGGAAGCCGGGGACATGTAATGGCTCGCCACCCGGCTTCCCGATTAGACAGAAAGCGGTATCCATGCTCCCTCATCACCAGGCAACGAGGAAGCATGGAGCTAGCTTTCTGACCAATCAGGAAGCTGGGCAGTGTGTAATGACTCGCCGCCCGGCTTCCCGATACCGGAAGTTCAGGTTTCGGGATAGGCATCTGGAGCATTTGGGTGAGTATAAGCGAGTACTCGCCCAAATACTGGGTATCGGCACCAATACCAATACTAGTATCGGTACATCCCTAGTAATCAGCTTCCCTCTTCAGTTTGATCAGTTAAGCTTTCAAAATGTAAGAGAACCCGATTGGTTACCATGCACAGCTGCTCCAGATTTATTCGGCTCCTTTTGATAAATCTCACTCAAACAGTTTTTAAACTATTCCTTACTTTATCCCCCAAAAATGTTGGTTTTATTTACAGCAGCGTTCTGCTTTAAACCCTACATTGTTTTCTACAACAACAAAGTTTGCACTTTCCCTTTAGAAGTAAACTAGCTGTCCCCAGGCCCCCTATGAGCTCATCCATTGATAAAAATAAACATACATAGCAACAGTTGCCATAAAAAAGAAAATGCATTACCGTGTACAAAGATTATGGGTGATTGCAATTACAAAGCAGAGATTACAAAACTGAAGGACAGGAGGGGGGAAACAGGAATTTTTCTTCTTTCTAAAGTGCATTTTTTTATCAAGCTTTTCCTACATTTTATCTAACTCCGAACTAGAAATGTCCCAGTTTTCCTTTTTTTGCTAACAAGCA